AAAAAAAAAGAAATATGCTAGAAAAAAAAACAACAGAAAAGACCACAGAGGGCCAGGTATGGTGGATCCTGCCTGTATTCCCAGCACTTTGGGAGGCCAAGGCAGGCAGATCATGAGGTCAGGAGATCAAGACCATCCTGGCTAACACGGTAAAACTCTGTCTCTACTAAAAATACAAAAAATTAGCCAGTCATGGTGGCACATGCCTGTAGTCCCAGCGATTCAGGAGGCTGAGGCGGGAGACTCACTTGAACCTGGGAGGTGGAGGTTGCAGTGATCTTGGCTCACTCAGCTGATATCACTGCAACTAGCCTGTTGCCCAGGCTGATCTCAAACTCTTGAGCTCAAGTGATCCACCCACCTCAGCCTCCCAAAGTGCTGGGATAAAAGGCATGAGTAACTGTGCCTGGCCTACACTAGGCTAATTAAAAAATTTTTTTGAAGAGATGAGGTCTTGTTATGTTGCTCAGGCTGGATTTCCCACTTCTAAATTTAAGGTCTAAAAAGCAGGAATTTCTTTAGCATCTCCAGAAATATTAACACTGGTTACCAATCCCAAGTACTTGCAAGCAATGCCGCAGATCTCATCCTGAAGCCCAATCTAAACTGCCCACACACTTGGGTCTACTATGTACCACTTACTGTTCAGGTTGTATCTGGAATTGAGATTCCGTTTGACATAATAAAGGATTGCAGGTACTTTCCAATTCATGTCAAACTGCACAGCTTCATGCTATAGAAGAGAAAAAGCACTTATGGCCAGTGTATATCACCCTTTTTCTTTTTCCCTTTTCAGAGAGAGGCCAGGACTCAGGTGCTAGTTTTTTTTCCAGGTGCTATTTTTAACTGCTACTGTTTTGTATTCCTGAGGATTCCTTCCTTCCTCCCTGTTGAATCTGCCTGGCATTGTATAGGGCCCTAAAGACAAGGATGCTAGGAAAAGGGGAAATTAAAGAAGAAACAGAACATGTTGCAACTAACCTTGTCAATAGGTTCAATAAGAAAGTCATTGAACAGATACCACTGCTGGTGAGTAACGCCCTATGGAAATACAAAGACAGACTGTGATGATACAAAGTGATGGCTGTACCACTGTCTCAGACTCAAGGACAGACCTGGG